ATTTGACGTAGTTTAATATCATACAACAAATTGCTTTTAATTTGTAAAAAATTTCTTAAAACAAACTAACCTATATCCCCATTACAGATTTTATCAATCCCCATTACAGATATGCACATCCTCCTTTTATAGATAAATATTCTAATATAAAAATATTTGATTTCAAGTTGTAAAGTTGCAAACTTTAATTATATACATTTGAAATTAAATTCCCTAATTTTAATTATAATTTATTTAATACTATTTGGACAAAATAAAGGAAAAATATTTATTTTAAGTTTTAGGTTTTGGCCAAATATAATTTAGTATATAATCTTATTTTTAAAAATACTTTAAATTTTAATAAAATATTACTAATTTATAGAAATAGCAATAATTATATAATTACTAAATATTTGCTGCATTTGGTGCTCATTGTGCTCATTGGAGTGCATGCTATAAATATATTAAAGTCTTAAAATTCTTATAAACAAAATATATGGTAATTTAATAGAAATCTGGACTTTGAAGCAAATATTCAATCTATTCTATAAACGCATGAAATATTGATTATAATTATATTTATATATTGAATATATTTGAACAAAAATAATAAGAAGAATTGGTGCAAATTGTCATTTACTCTAAATCTATCATTTTATTTTAAAAATATTTACTAATCCCTGTTATTCCTTAGATCCTATCCATTATTCCTTCTCCTTATAAATCCAATCAATAATAGCATTCCTTTCCTATAAGTATAACATTTTGTTATTTTTATGGCAAATAGGATAATATTTCTACCGAAATAGATCAATAAAAATTAATATTGATTGATATAATTAAAATAAGTATTTATATTAAAATGTATATAAATTTTAGTAAATTTATAATTGCTTCTATATTTGAATTTGCGTAAATATAAACTTATTGTTGATTTAAAAACACAATATTCGCTATAGTTTGATGCCTAAAGTCAATAAAACTAGGTTTGCTTAAACCATCTCTGGGATTTAATTTTTAATTAAAAATATGTTATATAAAATTAATTTACTTATTGATTTATTAAATTTCACGAACTAAGTTTAGATAATAATTAGTCGACTTTATTAGTTTAGAAAAAGAAATAACCATGTTACTCACATTAATTCTTTTGTTAATTAGATAATATTATTATAATGTACACAGAATTGATGTGTGTTTTGAGTATAATAAGTGTTTTTCAAAATTCAATCGCATATATTCTATGTTTAATCTACAAAGAAATGAGTGTTCAATAGAATGGGTTTCATTGTTTTTTATATTTGCTGAAAATACAGTAGAGTTTGAATTCATAAATGTCATTTCACTTCAAACACACATTTATATAAATATGTACTAAATATACGGTTATCTAACTATTTAGATAAGACTTTAGATGACGTGATCATTGAAAAGACAAAAATAAAAATAATTTATATCTTTTTGTAAAGGAATTGAGCGGAAGAGAAATTTTCCACTTGTTTTCCGTTAAACTCCGATTGTATTTATTAAAGTGAATATTCTGTTTAGTTTTCTCTCATATTCTGATCAAAATAATGTACAAAAATCTAGTAAATGACTCGTAAAAGCCATACAAAAAGTAGACAATAATATATGTTGAAAACCATTTCAAGAAATAAGAATATATTAATACTATTATTTCAAATGATCTATTTTTATATTTTTTTTAATCTTTTGGCTTTTTTTATTATTATAAAATATTTTAATTAATCTATTGTTCAATCTTTGAATTTAACAAAGCCATCAGAGATATTCAAAAGTGCAAACCTTAAAACACAAACATATTTTTATATCATTATTGTATTTTATTTTTATGAACCACCATATTTACCTTAAAATTAGTTTTAATAATTGAGGATCTAGGTATTAGTCAGATTAATTACAGCATATCTAGTATATATTTGATTACATTCATCATTATATATAGTAGATATTTAAGGTTATATACTAATGTTATTAATGAAAGAGGGATTGATTTTTGTGCATCTCTTATGGCCAAAATGTGTTTGTATTGTGTTTTGTTTGTTTGGGTAAACTGTGTCTACAGTGTGTGTCTGACTGACTGTAAATCTCTTGCTTTAATTCTCTATATATTTAGTACTATCAACAGACCGATGAGTACAAAATGACTCTGCAATACACAAATGCAACCTTTACTGCACTCTTTACCCTTGAATGTATGCTCAAGATTACTGCGTTTGGATGTCGGGTAAGGTATCCAACGTGTGTCCGTCCGACCGACCCATCCGTCAGTTCGCACGACGTTTGGGTCAGTCGTATGACAATCGACCACAAGAAGGGAAGGAATTAACTAAACAATCATTTCTATGACAATCAGTCATTAATTTGCTGCATGTGTTCACTTGCCTAACAAATACATCTATCATCAAAGTGAACATATTTTTAATCATATAACCAATCACTAGATTAGAAGTATTTATCATGTTTTTCAATATATATTATTATCGAAATTATTCTTACAAATATGTTAACTATTTTACATTAGAGTATTTGTACATTAATATACAAAAACGTCTCAATCATTATCAAAGGAATTCTTGCCATTAGTGGTACTGTAGTTGTAGTGGTGGTGAATATCTCAGCCCTTCCTCCACTCCTATCAACCAATATATGAATTACTTTCCGATGCCATCCCTTTTCCACCCATTTATATACTCATTGTTATCGCATGGCATGAATTCAGTAGGAAATTCTCGATGCATTTTCATAAATTCATAAAAACCAAATTATTTAAGAATTCAAAATTAAAAATGCATTTGAAAAGCATTTTGATATGAAAGTTGCATTAATTATTTATAACCATGTGTTTTATTGTATTAAAGGCATGCATTCAATGGTTTCTTGTGTTTATATAAATGCTATTTAATATAAAGCACGAAAATAATCGTTTTAATTATAATTATTAATATAACAACACATTATGTATAATAAGAATTACTTTTATAATAACTGTTAATTATAACATTTTTCTCAACAGTGCTATATATTGATAATAAAGTACAAACCTATTTTTCCTGTGTTTTTCAATACCAATAAATTTGTTTTTAAGTTTATTTTATATATTTTATTTATTTATTTCATTTACGATTTGAAATTATTATTTGACACAACTTTATTGCATAAAAACCACATTTTAATTATTATATTTATTTTAATGTTGGTATTTTATCATTTATTTGTTAATTTTTAATCTATTTTTCATTTTTGAAAATTATTTTATAATTATTTATTATTTTCTAAATTATTGTAATTGGATTATAAGAGTAAATAATTGAGTTTTAATATTACTTTGTTTTATTACATCTAAATAGTTTATTTTTAAGAAAACATGTAGAAAATAATTTGGTAAATATCGATATATTTGACGAATAATATAAATTCAATTATTACTTATATTTTCCATTAATTCACTTATTATTATTAAAATAATTGATTTATTAAAAACAACATTTATATCACAATTTTGTACGAATGCCCACATATTTTATAGCAATGTTTATACCGTAGATTTTTCAAAATATGATTTTGTGTGACCATCCCGGATGTGAAAATGATCAATGTCCATTCTCTCTCCATTAGTATCACGATGCAGATCCTAATTATGTAGACGTGTTGAGCTACATGAATGAGCTGTTCACTGCGTTGTTCCTATTAGAGTGTATCCTCAAACTGATCGCTTTAGGATGCAAGGTATATCATCATGGTCAGATTATACATCAATACTACCATGCACACTAACACACAATCAGAGATGTGCATTCAAACTATCATACAGTACCTAATAGATCATATTTTAGATAGTTAACATTGTAGCACTTTACATCACTATCTATTTAACATTATGATTTTAATGTTAAAATAAATATATAATATATACTAAAATAGAGTAATTATATAAAGTATTGTCTAATTATTAATACTTTATTTTTTAAATATTATTAAAATGATATTTAAAAATAATAATTTAGAATTATTTAATTTAAATATTGATCATAATTATATTTATTAGAAGTACTGCACATCTCTGATTTAAATAAATATTAATAATTTTATTTTATTTATTTGCATTTATAAAATGAACTTTAAATTTCATTAAATTTTAAAACTGAAATTACATTGTTAAAGTAAATGACATCCACTGTATAACATTTTATCGAGACACTATTTCACTTATTCACTAAATTTTTACCAAACATATGCAGCAAATTCTCGATCAATAAAAAATGATCTTTTCATCGCTCCTTCTCTTTCTTTATCGATATAAACATTTAAATAAATTTTAATATTAATCCATATTTTTATCCTTAAAATGAAAAGAATTTTTTCAAAGACTCGTGGAATACATTTGACTTCATAACAGTCGTCGGCAGTGTTATCGATGCCCTCGTTATGGAAATTACAGTCAGTAATAAGGTATACAAACTTTACATTACATCCATTTATTTGATACAGTACCATTTGCTATGTATGAAATATACTGTATATTAAAATTAAATTCAAATTTACCATTCAAATAGGAATTTAATTTTATAAGTGTTGGATTTTTACGCTTGTTTCGAGCGGCCCGACTCATCAAACTCTTAAGACAGGGGTATACTATTCGTATACTTCTCTGGACTTTTATCCAATCATTTAAAGTAAGTGTTGTTTACAATAATGGCTCAATCATTAACAAGCATGGTTGTGCTTACTATTATAATCACAATAAAACAAACAATTATAATTGTAATGGATGTAAGCTAACTAACATATAATTTGTATGATAACAGGCGCTGCCTTACGTATGTTTGCTGATCGCTATGTTATTCTTTATTTATGCCATTATCGGAATGCAGGTAAGGTTTACTTTATTAACAAATCCATACATCTATTACTAATCTATTGCTTTATTTCTATAAATACTTAAAATAATAGAATATATTTATTGTGTTTGAATGACAGATAGTAGTTATTGTGATAATAGTGTAAACAGTACTTTATTATAAATTATATTTATTAATTTATAGTGAATACTAGATACTAGTATTAGAAATGGTCTGTAAGTATTAGTTGTAAATGCCTTAATAGTACAAGCAATTTAGCTTTGTATAATTAGTTTTGTACTATGTATATTAAATACATCTTAACAGAAAAGTGTTTAAATATTATCATTTTTATAACTCAATATTACAAAAGGAAAAAATGATAATTTTATTTGAAAATCGGAAAAAATTGAAAATTATTCATTTTGAGATACATTTCTGTTTCGATGAAAATGTGTTAGTGTTTTGTTTATTAAAAATGTCAATATTACTAGTGTTTGTTAAATAAATATGTAATAATAGAAAATGTATGTACATATACGTAAAATGGGCTGAATATGTTGATCTAGATTGATCTGTATTAGAGATGTTGTCGTATAATTAGAGTAAATTAGTCGCGTTCGCACTCACTGTTAACCTCCCCTCACCGACACCTCCACCCCTCTCTGGCATCCATCCACTCACCGAATCCAACAACTATTCATCACAATTCTATAGTAGGTATTGATAGTAGAAATGAATGACAAATTGCTGGCAAATAGATGTAGTAAAATATATAAAGACCAGAATTGATGCCCCAATTAGTGATTTGCACCCAAACTAGTCATGTATTAGACAAACCCTAAGCATCACTAATAGCTTATATATGTCTCTCTTAATTACGATATAATGCTATCATAATCTGTGGGCAAATTTATAACAATGGGTTATCCACTCTCACTAATCAAATGAAACCTTTGACACACACTCCCACTCCCAATCACGCTGTGCGGCACCTATACTACCAATGGATAGGTATTTGGGAATATGGACTTTGAGGCCGAGGCCGAGATCAATCGACACACCAATTTCCGTACTTTCTCTGAATCATTAATATTGTTATTCCGGTGAGTCTTATAATGGGTACCAAAATACTGGTATTCAAACCGTAGGAATTTTGTAGTCCATTCATTCAATCATATTCTCTATATATTTATAATGCAAACTTTGAACCATTTTTATGACAATTTAAACCATACTTTTCTTCAATACTATTAAACACAAAATGTCTATTAAATGTTGAATCAAATTGTGGTACTATTCGTGTATTGTCTAGTATTGTATTTATATAAAACTGTAAACAATGTTGTATTAGTTGTAAAAAGCGTATCTTTCCAATAGTGATGATACTTTAGTACTGTATTTTGTACACTATTTATATATTGTATAACATAGTGTTATGCTTATACATTAGATATATTGTAGTAGTAATAAGTGATTTGTTGATGATATGATGAGATCTATTATGATTTAGTAGAGTAATCCCAGTGCTTGTGTTCTGTAGGTGTTTGGCAATATATCAATTAATCCCGAAATCAATACTGACATAAGCTTATCCAGACATAACAATTTTAGAACTTTCATACAAGGATTAATGCTACTGTTCAGGCAAGTAGTGGTTATTAGCACCCAATCCATCCCAACAAATACCCCAATCCTTTTACTATCTATATTTAATTACATATGTATTGCATTTTTCCCCATTTATTGTCTCCCAAATTCCCAAATGATATCAATATTATATATGTTATTTATATTGAATGCTTTATAATATGCATATTTTTTGGCAATTTCTATAATGATTTTAAATTTGTCATATGGGAATACATAATGGTAAGGATTGTGTGAATATATTTAAAATGATAAATATTTATAATTTATAATTATAAATGTTGTTTATTTGATTGCCTCATCAATTCCCGGAAAGCTTTCATTTATTAATGCACTCAAAATAACAGATTTTGTTTTTCTGGTTTACAATCGACACAATTATATAACACTTTGAATTAATACCTACTATTTGTTGTGCTGCCGATGCGGTGGATGTGACGGACGCTGTGATGGTCGCAGGTGTGCGACAGGCGAGGCGTGGCAGTCCATTATGTTGTCCTGTGTTTCTGGAAAGCCATGCGATTCCAAGACTAATAAGGGTGAAGACGAGATGAATTCTTGCGGTTCAGATCTCGCCTATTCATACTTTGTTACCTTCATCTTCTTTTGCTCATTTCTCGTAAGGCTTATCGCAAATAATATGCATTTTTGTTATTTATTATGATATTGTATAGACTTCTGATTTAATCTCAATGAATGTATACATTGATTGTGTGAATAGATGCTGAATTTATTCGTTGCCGTCATTATGGATAACTTTGATTACTTAACGCGTGATTCTTCAATTCTGGGCGCACATCACTTGGACGAGTATATCAGGGTTTGGGCTGAATATGATCCAAATGCTACTGGATTTATACACTATTCAGAAATGTATGATATGCTCCGAAATATGGACCCACCGCTAGGGTTTGGTAATAAATGTCCCTATAGGCTCGCATATAAGGTATGAGCTCGGAGCTAATACCCTAATAGAAAACTCGTATAAATGAATGATATGTGACATTTAGAAACTGATTCGCATGAATATGCCCATCACTGAAGAGGGAAAAGTGAATTTTACGACAACACTATTCGCGTTGATTAGGGAAAACTTGAGCATTAAGATGAGACCGGCCGAGGAGATGGATCAGGCGGACAGAGAACTTAGACATACTCTCAATAAGCTTTGGCCACTCCAGGCCAAGAAGATCATTGATAAGCTAATCCCCACTCACGAGGGTATAAATTTGGTTTCAATTGTTGTCATGTTTATCAATTAATGCATTTTTTTCTACAAATTTCAACTAATTTGTATTATTAATTGAATTTATATCTAAAATTAAAATCTAACTAATCTTAGAGTTACGTAACGGACGACTGACTGTCGGCAAAATATATGCCGGCTTTTTAGTGCTCGAGAACTGGAAGACCACCCGATTTGGACAAATACAAGGCGTCGGCTTATCTGTAAGTCTTGGATGTGTAGTATTATAGGGATATTAACACAATATAAAACAATTATTGGAAAGGAAACAAACATGTGTATAAGCAAAATTAAACTTAATTTTTTACATTTAACATAAAAAGCATAACAAAATATTTTTCCCCGAAAAAAAAACAAAGGATAAGGATTGTAAGGATTAACGACCCAAACAAATATAAAGTTATTATACCTGAGATTAATAGAATAATAATAATGAAACTTCAAATAAGTAACTAAAAATTAATTTATTATAATTATAAGTATTGTTGTAGTTATGAAATGACTGTTAAACTGATATTCATTCGCGCTTTTGTGTTGACTAAACGTCTCGTAATGTTGTCTTTGTATTCGATGTCTATTTTACAGGAAAGGCAATCCATTCTTCCTTCAGAAGCGGTAGTGTATAGATATATATTGATATTCAATACCCATTATATCCGCACTAACTATTCACACCTGACATCCAATTATGCCATGAAATTCATTATAATCCTAACACTGTATTCAAAAGCCTTTTCCATTTAAAGCTTATTTGTTATGCCATTTCATTCAATCCGTTCGGTAATGAATTATTTGATCCACTTTTCAATCATTATATAACTATATTAATTATTTTATTAATAATAACCTCTCAATAAGAGCATCATTATTAAAGTTTAAATAAATATCATTTATACTAATTCAACCATTTATAACACCGGGTTTATCATTATTATGTCACCCATTGAATGTTAGCCACTCTATGCATATACTATTATATAGTACTATATCTATAAATATTCATTGCATGTCTGGAAACGCTCTCTAATTTCTTGAGAAATTTTATAATATTAGAAGTTTGTTATATGCAGTTAACTATTCTTAACATTTAGCTAGATATTGATCTTAACTTTAAGACTCTTAAGAATAATAGAGATTACTTCCAGACATTTAAAAATAGCATCGATTAAATGCATGTCTGTTTAATAATAGTGAATTTAAGTGTGGTAGTTATGCATTTCTATATTTTAATATAAGTTATATCATTAAAATAATAGTGATTTGTATTTAACATACGATTATCTCATCATTAATGTCTGTATCCCATCGATAATATTCGTTGGTTTGTCTCATAGTCTCTGTACCTCTAGTCTCTGTATTTGTCTCAATTGAAATCATTAGTGAAAACCACTTAAAGTATAACTAAATTATAAATAATTTACATTACAAATAATATAAATTGCATTTAAATAGTATTGTATAAAACAATTGTTGATAAATATTGCATGTATTAACAAAATGTCTATATTTGTAAATATATCGAAATTAGTTGTAATTAATGATGTGTAGTATTTGTATTGTGTATTAGTTGTGGTGTAAATCTGTTATACCTCTATAAATATATGTCAATTAGAAAAGCTTTTATAGAGTGTAGAGTTTATGAACGATGTTTAGTGGCAATAGTGTCCCTCTTTATAGTATATACCGTACGCTATATTAATGTATAGAATATGTATTAATATATAGAATATTTAGCTCATAATATCTGTGATAATTATTTGATAAGTTAATAAATGATGAAAACTATTATTTAGTTTAATTCATAAATATATTAATGAAAGAAAATGAGATAAAAAATACTACAGTATGTATACGGCATTGAAATGCTGTCCCATTTACTACTCATATATTCTATTAATCCAATATATTATCCGATAATAATTTTGCGATTCATATAATTAGCAATACTTATTACACGACAACATATTTATCCCACAATTCAATACACACTCATTTAGATTATTGTATTGTAAAACAATTAATTAGTGCCTTAAATATATAATGTGTTTGTGATGTGAATCCGAATTTCTTTTATAATAATATTCTAATTCAATAATCAATACAATTGCACAACACATATATTTTTGGTACTTTTTCATATTTATTCCTTTGAAACACAATTTCATTTGACATTTTTACGGCACCAAAGAGTTGTAATTTTTATAATGTAATATTTTTGTCTGCAATTCTTTTTACATTCACTGCAATTTATAAGTAAAAATATATGGACAATACAAAGCAATTTATTCACTGAATATATGCATAAACTATATGATATATCACTCTACAAATCCTTCACTATAATAGCAACCGTCACTATTGGCCCGACTTATGGGCGCCGTTAGAAACCCTAACAAACCGGCAGATGAGCAAAATTTTGCTGATATGAAGGCAGTGTTGACTTCAAACGCTCGCAAAGAATCGCTTAAAGACTCCATACAAAGGTTTGTCATATAATTGAATGATTGATATAAACTAATAATTGTGTTATTGTTTGCAGTGATTCCGATCGTGAGAGACAACGACGAGAACCAAAAGGGTTTATGAGACGAGGAAGTAGTCGTAAAACACGAAGAAGACGCACATCTATTATGACCAGTGCTTATGGCACTGGCAATGAGCCCCGAACCGGCTCTCAGGTCTGACACACAGTGCTGTCCAATTGTAGATCCAGTTATCTATTCAAATGCATGTCTCAAGTAGTGGTCCGTCCAGTCAGTCATTCGTCAGTCAATATTTGATGTGAAATCTATTTGTGGCCAAAATTTATTAATATTTAACTATTTCTCAAACCTATGGCTTATATTGAATGGCGTTTCTATTGTATAGTATACAATGTATACAAATATTAGATGTGAAGTGTTTCGAGAAATATGTGCACAAAACTAAAAACTGGAAATTATTTTAGCAAAAATTTATTGCATTCAAACTAAATGTAAAGAATTTGCAGTTTTAAAAAAACATTTGAAAATGGAAAATATTTTAATGTTTTTATATAATAATAGATAATTTTTGTATTTTTATATAGAATTGTATTTACATAGAAATATTAGTATTGATTATTGAAATGTAATACTTGTGTCATTAGAATAGATTTTACTTAAAGGCATAGATATGTTGATTGTATTGATGTGTTTGAATCCTATTAACAAAACAATTTTGAGACCTTTCATGCATTATAGCCATAATGTATTAATTGTCGTAAATGTTAGTACAATTGTTGTATAAGACTGTAGAAAACTTAATATCAGATTTCAAAGAAAACAAAATTGTTTTGTTAATTGATTAGTAAATATTAGTAACCAATTAACACGATTGTAGAGCACAAACACGCGTTTATAAATATGATACATGTGTTATTGTTATATAATATTTTAGACATTTGTAGTTAACATTTATACAATTTAGTGTTGAATACATATTGATATCCGATTGTGTGATATCTAATATCGGATGTGATGTCCAGTATATGTATGTGTTATGTATTGTGTCTGAAAGTGCTTAACATATATTGTAAATATTATAATAAGTAGATTTATTATTTAATTTTGTTTTTATATTTTTGCTTTTAATTTCCATTATCTAAAAGGACTTTGAATTAGTGGCTCTTAGAAGACCAGACGCTAAGACTAGAGCTGATACCTGTGTTAAGCATATTAATAGAGGCTCTGATGTGAGTGTTTCCAAACACATCGTAAACATCATTGAGATTAGAGACAAACCCTTCTATGCATTCGGCATATGTTTTGCCACAAGAAATGATCATTTGTTTGTATCCGTCATTTAACTGTTACCCTCGCATACAGACAATATTCCTCAACCTTTACTCCACACCTATTCCCTCATCAAATACCATTAACTATAAGCAACATTTTTAATAAACCATTTAAATATTATTACTACTATTTTAGATCCGTTTAGTATTAAGAATGTATTATTGGATTGAATTCCCAAACAATTAATTCATATTATTTAATGAAACCAAACATATTTCATAAGCGAACGATTCACTCATTTATTCATTCAATCATTCACTTGGTGCACAAAATCTAATCCAATATTTTTACCAAATCTCATATCCTATTCATATCATACATTATTAAACATTTAATTCACTATTTTTATTATAATTATTGTTATCATTATTATTAACATCTTTGCACTTCATTTAAACCATTTATGAAATTAAAAACTAATGGTTTTTAGTAATATAAATTTCTACAAACATTACTAACATATGCATTACAATTCCCAATAGGATCAGCCTGTGGTGACAGCATTGGCGCAACTGTCCACTCACTTACATCCCGATCCCCATCACGGAAGGGGCGGATCATTCAGAAGACGATCGCGTTCTCGGAGTAGATCGCCATCTATTTCTATGCGAAGGGATAGTAATATAGGGCCGACCGGAACCGCAGTTAGCGGCGAAACACACGCCAGACATCGATCGCCTACACCTATAGGCAGGTCTTCGTCGCCACCAAAACCAGATCACGGTTTTGCTGAAACGGTGACAGATATTGTCGATTACGTTAAATATGAGACCTCGAGGAAAGGTAGAGCGCGGGGTATGACTACTGATTACTCAATTAGTAGATATGATTGTTGAGCACACATTTTGCCTCAAATAATGATTGTATTTTGATTGACAGCCAAAGTAAGAGGCGATTGGGAGACAACTGGTTTAGGTCGGAGTCCGTCGCAAAAGGGGAGTCGACGTAAACATCACAGGCCGTGGACGGGCGGACCCATACAACAGGAACGCAGTCGTAGCGCTTCTCCCGATTACCGCAACGCCTGTTTGGCCGCCCGATCGCGCAGTCCTTCCCCTTATCCGCCCCCTAATGGCCAGACCTCTGAATATTACGGAACAACACAACTGGAACAGAGGTCGAGGAGTCCGAGTCCTTCGTCGGCGCACTCATTACCTGTGCAGAAGAGGTCAACCCTTGGAGTGGGTCCGAGTGGTGGCGCCGGCAGAACAGGTAAACGTCGATTACTGCCAAACACACCAAATAAGCCATCATTTCTACGATTGACAGTACAATCAGTAGAGAATATTAACTTTCCATTAGTTTCACACTCGCCTACAATACCAAACCGATCGCCCGGTGCTATCAATTTCCCCAAATTGAACGCCTCTCCCACTCACCTAACAAAACAACAGTCCTCTCAGCATAACTGGACGGTCGCCGCCGGCAACGGATTGTCGACATTGTTGGCGCCGTTACGGGCGATAGGCCGGGCCAACAGTAGCTCCTGTTTGGCAAATGTTGTCGGCTTTGGTAGACGAGGTGCCGGTGTCCGAGAACTGCCTCAACCGCCAGTTATGGTACCACAACCTCACATGCCGTTCAGCCAAAGCATGGGAGGCGTGTCAGGAGTGGCGCCGCCGTCGTCTCTGCACACGTGGAAAGAGGAGGCGCCGCACACTTTCCAAGCGGCCAACGCTCCCGCACTCGCACTCATCACTGCTAACACAAGTGCTCGCGTACTGCCACTTATGACCAATGGTTTCAAGCACTTCAGACCCCCATCTAAACACACGGATCGCCCGTTACTGCCCAACGCGGGCGCTGTTAGGGCCCGAAGCGCTGGCGGCCATCATCGACCAACTCTGGCCCCATTGGCACAGAGGCCTAACTCGAGTATGACTGTCGACACCTTAGCCGACACACAACGTCTCGAGACCGATGAAGAGGACGACGACACTGATTGGTGTTAACGATCACTATATTTAGTGATATTTTATTAATAATTAATTGTTTTTATAATTAAATTAATTCTTTTCAAATCTTTTTCTATATTAGAATTCAATTAAAACCAATTCTTGATATTATTATACAATAAAGGAATTGAATTCCGAATCAAGAATTTCTTATCAAAACAACGCTTTTATATTATGATTGTTATAACTATAGCTAATATATAATTAATTTATTTGTAAATATGAAAAATACATTTATAAGATTAGGCTATATATTATTAATTCAAGTGTTTATATTATAATTATAATCAAAGCCTTAAATAGCATTTAAATATAATTAATGAAATATAGATATTTGTTTCATAATTGTAAAATAAGTACACAATTGAACACATGATAATACGTTTGTATATTAATAATTATATTATTATCATAACAATCTATTAAGCATATAAACCATTCAAATATATTCCAATGTATAAAATGCACCAGAATTACCATGATTGTTCACTAAAATCACGTTTAATTACCATTTGTCACATGTTATAGAAATAATTAACTTTATATAATATACATAATATATCATTAATTTATAAGTGAATTTTAAACTCGTTCACAAAATATAAAGTATTGTAAAAATCCCTATATTTATAGAGTATATTATAAGTCGTTATTAATGTTTGAAATGATAACTAAATTAGATATTAATTTATGTTTTATATTATTCTTAATATTAATGAACCCATAATTATGTTTGAAATGATTTTAGTATTGTTTTTAAAGCTGTGATAAAATATATATATAAAAATTGCTTTTTATTGATATGTTTTCTTCAATTTATTCAAAACTTTACGAAATTAAAACTCTATAAATGATATTCAATTGAATACAAAGTTTTAAAATGTTTTTAAATAAAATTAAATGTAAACAATATTTGCTCTCATTATTTGTGATTTTTCTTCAAATTCAAACTGTATTTGCTATAAGGATGGGGGCAATAAAACATATGTATAATACATGTGTATTATTCCATGTATTATTCATGTATTATACATGGCAAAATTTGCCATACATACAACATGGCGTCAAATATTG